CTATAATTGCTCTAATAATTCAGCTGAACAGGGATCATGATTGGCCACAGGGAAAAGGCTGTGTTTATTGACCAATCAATACGGACAAACAATAGTAACTCACTTAATCTTTGCTGAATGAATGTGTGCACATATGTGTGTTTGTGTTTAGAAACAGATGATGGGTGTGTGGAGATGCACAAATACTATCTATGATATAACAGCACTTGGTTTATGATTTCACTCTTCTTTTTTTTCTTTTTTTTATTTCAATAGCTTTTGGGGTACAAGTGTTTTATGGTTACAAGGATGAATTGTGTAACGGCAAAGTCTGAGATTTTGGTGCACCTATCACCCAGGTTATAATTTTATTCTTTTTCAACATGCATTTTGGTACGCCACACAAACCGCCTCATTGTATGAAGGGACATTAATAACAGACAAGCATTATGAATCCTCTCTTCAAGGAGAACTGTCCAAATCAGAAATGAGGGAGATTAGAGGAGCAGCTACTAACGCAAGGTACTGAACCTTGTCCATCTTTGGGCCTACTCTAAGGGGCAGAGGGAAAGCAGGAAGCCATCAGAGGTGGGAAGGCTCACAGTGTCCGCTCTGTTCTCACGGGTAAATGGCTTTGCATGCATTGCAGCTGGGGCTGACTGCATAGGTAACAGCACTTGCTTATTAGACAACAGTACTTATCTATTAACCTGCCACAGAATCAACACAGGAATAAGGTATCGAATTACAGCATTGATGCGAATATATGTGTTTATTTTTTATTTATGTGTATGTATATATGATTAAAATGGCAGCCATAAAGCTATGTGTACAAAAGACAATAAGTTACCACTCTGTCAGGAACCATCATTTTAAATGTCTAGCATTATCCCTCAAGTACTTTGACAGACTGGAGGAGGAAGTACATCCCATAAACAATATCCTGCTTGGGTTCTATCAGCAGGTTCTAGTTTTGTGTTAAAACTATTACATCAATGAAAAAGAAAAGATATCTAAAGTAAGAGGCTGTAAATTTTGTTCCTGTCTATTATATAATGATCCAAAAGGAAGTGAGGAATTAGCTCCTTAGTTCTAATTTTTCTTTCTAATGCTACTTCTTTATATAATTTAAGACTGGCTACAATGATTTATATTTTACTATATATTCCAAAGGTACCAGCATCACAGGACCTTGTGCATGTACAACATTCTTATTACAGATGGGTGAACATGTATCTGAAATGCAATGTCTTCTAAGACTGAATCTCAAATGCACAAAAAAGGGATATGAAACTGGGAAGCAATCCAAGAGTACTGTAAGACAGTGCCATTGTATTGACTTTCACGCTATCAATAGATCTTGAGACTTGTGAAAATAAGCCAAGGAATGCAACATTCATATCTTAACTGTATGTTTTCCTGTCCTCTCACTTATTTTTCCTGGTGTAAACAGAGCTACCCATCTGTGCATAGAAAAGCAAACCTGGAGAGCAGAAGCATATTAAAAACCACAGTGCCAGGGCAAGCAGCCCTGGAGTGGCAGTCGAGAACACTGTCTTCTCATTCCAACCTTGCCCTATAAGCTATATAACCTTGAAGAAGTTTCTCTCAACCATTAAAATAACAACAGGTAAAATAATATACAGGATACTGTTGGTAATAATAATGGAAAGTTTGTCAAAAAATTAACAGAACTTAAAAGATTTTTAACACTAATGTAAATGTTTCCTGAAAAGTACAATTCAGTCTCTATAGACCAGCTATATATTCAATTAAGAAATTAGTACATATCCATCTCTGCCTTCAACTTATCTATATATAAACAAAAATGATCAATTTTACCAAACAAATTAGTAAAATTGGTAAAAGTTACCAAATTTTAACTGAAATGACTGAGTAGAAGTAATCACATCACCTATGCTCATTACAATGAACTGCAGTCAGTGGCAATACATTCATAGAAAGATTGATATCTAGCTCAAAGATGAAAATTCACATCAATGTAAAGTAAATCTCTCACTTTAAAATCAGCACTGAGAGGATGATACGTGAACATTTTTTAAGTCTTTCAGGGGATCTGTCTCATCGGTGGTAAGCACTCAAAAAAGAACAACAAAATGTTAAGATTTTATGGCCAATACAATTCTGCATACAATAATTTTGTCTACATTTCACAATCAGGTACTACTCATACAGAATATGGGGAAAGTTCTCCTGAGGATCTAAAGAATGGGACTTAGGTCCCATTATTATTTTTGTATGTAGTGTCAAATTTTCTTGATAAAACTGTTTAGTCAATTAAAAAATTATTCTCTTGAGGAACCTTTGAAGGGATATTAACTCATGTTGAAAAAAGGACTTGTTGATTAAATCCAAGAGAATTACATCAATTCAATTGCTTCTTATTAGATGATTACTAGCTGTTACTTTACAAATATCACTGAGAGGATTAAAAAGATTTGTCATAGACTCAGAAGGTCAAAAATCAGCTCAGAGAAGGCTAAAAATATTCCTTAAATTTAATTTTTAAATGCAGCTTTCCAAAAATCAGACGCATGTTTTAGAGCAATCTTGACATCTCCAGAAGTGCATAAATAAATTTAAACCTGTCAATGACCTACTTTAATGAAAGAAATTACAACCATCTTAAATAGTTGTAATTTATCTTTATGATGATGCTGAGTTGCTAATTTTATTATTCAAAAAATTATAAATGATGACAAATTGAGCAAAATCAACCATCTAGAGGAAGACATTAAAATAAAGACTTTAGCTAAATAGAAAACTGGCCTATTCCTGAATGTCTTACCATTGCTAGACATTCATAAATCTTCTCACAGAGGAGAGAGGAATCATAAGAAAATACAAGCCAAATCACTAGAGTCAGTTCTATACACACCAACAATACATACATATATTTAAAGAAAGCAGTTTGACAATATAGAGGTAACCACCATGGCAGGTACATTACACTGTTTTCCTCAACCTCCACTATCCCCTTCCTCCTTAGTAAACGGAACAGTAATTTTTCTCAATGAGTGTATTGCTTCTTGGAATAAAAGACTACATGCTAGGAATGAATACTGTCCAGATTCAAAGATAATGTGGGATTCTGCTTAAAGAAAACTGACTCATGTTTGGGAGCTCACTTTTTTTCATGTTTTGCCTTTCCTACTTCTTCTGACCTGTACCCATATTTATGATGGCTAGAGCTCCAGGAGCCATCCTGTACCCTGAGGTCATCTTAGTATGAAAGCCATGCACTAGGAAAGAACAGAAAAGTAAGAGCTGAGTCTCTGATGACACCACAGAATCACCATACAACCATTCCAGCCTGTATCTAGACTACCTTTACATGAGACAGAAATACATTTCTATCTCTTTTAAACTACTGTTACTTTGGACTTTAATGTTTCTTACTTTTTCTGTTATAGTGGCTAATAATTAGTCAAGTCAATTTTTTTAAATATTCAAAAGCAATAACTGAATCGTCTACCTAATTTGTTGTTTTAACTTGATGAATGTGTTTACATAGACTCAATTTTAACTTTCCTCTATGGTAGTAACAGTATTCGTGAGGTTTCTTAAAATACTAATAGATCTTGTAAGGAAATCAGCACTATGGACAATTTATCTTAATAATGTTTTCTTCACCTATTATAAGAGACAGAAAGAAAAAATTACTGGGAATTCAACTTCTAAGGAAAAATTTCCCTTCTAATTCCCCCCAAATACAATAATGAGTACAATGAAACATCCTACAGATTCATATTTTCTAAAATAACTTAGGAAAGAAGAAAAGAAATAGACATTTATGAATCCTGCACTATTCCATGACTTAGTTACTTAGCAGATATTTTTGTTTAATTCTCACAATAAACACTTTAGATAGTTAATACTGTCCTCACACTTTAAAGATGAGGTAACTGAGGCTTGGAGATATTTACTAACGCTTTCATGGTCTCCACACAGTAAGTCCAATTTCAAATCCCATACTCTTTTCATGATACTCTGACATAGAACATGCATTGACATGTGATAATATGAAGAGCATTTTCTAGTTCAAACACCTTTCTATTTTTCTTATGTCCAAGATTCTGTTTTTAAAAAACCAATTATTCTTACAGAGAAACAAAGGTTAAATGTTTAATTTCCAAATAAAAATTACAATGAAACCTCCTGATGAAAGCCTAAGGCTCTGCACAATCTATCTATTTCAACTGTGTGTAAGAAAAAAGAAAGAGCAAGAGAGGAAGGGAGAAAGAGAGTGACAGGGAAAGAGAAAACAAACCTAGTTATGTCCATCTGGGCCTTATATGAAAAGGACTCTGTTCTAATTGTATACTTTTTTCTCTCCTACTATATTATATATACTGGGACTATGAAGGCTTTCATCTTCCTAACCTAGAAATAAAAATACAAATAGTTACAAGATTTTAGTATCAAAAAAATTCCCAGTACAGGAATCTCTGTCTCCCTCAGCTCACTTTGATCTCCTTCTCTTTATCCTCTAACTGAGCAGAAAGAAAAAGCAGAGTGTCAACAGTAATTTCTTTTTTATTTTTCAAAGTAAGTGGCTGATATATTAAGCTCTCAGGCTACAAAGTCATGAAAAGCAAAAGAAAGTCATTATAGTGGAAAAAGAAACCACAGCCTCTAAATGTACTATTGTTTAGAATTCATATTAAAAATAACTCTGTAATATGTAATACTCTGTAACTATGTACACACATGTCATACATGTGTGTTCATATAGCTTATAGCTGTTAAACCTTATGCCAAAAGTAGAAATGCAAAGTTTGACAAGAAGAAAAGAGTACTGTGTATATCTTGAAGTCAATTAAAATAACATTTAACCAAACCAAGGTATTCATATTATAAATTATTTTTGGAAGATTAACATTTTTGTGGTTGATGACTATAGCAAAATTTTCTTTGAAGTGTCACAGAAGTTACTAAACATCTTGTAGTTGGTATAGCAATAAAAATGTATTGTAAGTTAAGTGATGTTCAGGACTTACCACCTCCTCCTCCAAGAAGACTGGCATTTGCTGTTTAAAACAAAACATAACAAAAGACATTAAATAACATGTATAAGAAATATAGTATATCAGAGTAATTCAAGATAAATCTGATAGTGATCATATGTCTCATATACATACAGAAACATAAAATATTTACTTTCATTTAAAGACAGCTTATATTACTATTTTATGAGTTTGAAAATTAAAATATTTCACTATTTTTATCTTTTTCTCTTCAAATGGCTATTTTTATAATATATTTCCTTCTAATGAAATTAAACACATATTGAGACTGTTTTATTCTCAGTTCTGTATCTAAATTAATCTTCTGAGCTCTCCATTTTATCAAGTAGAATAGAACAATATTATTTAACCAATTTTAATGATTTTAAAGGACAATGTAACAAAAAAGTATTATGTTAATTAAGTTAAACATAATGAAACAAAGCTATCACAAAACATTTTGCAGTAAGAAATAACTCTTTAAATAGTAACAATTTATTACTTTTTTGATTAACTTTTTTATTTTGAGGAAAGAAATAAACGTTAAACAGTGCTGTGGTATTTCTTACCTATTTATTTATTAGCCCAGCACACACATTTATAGGCGCTAAATTAAGTATAAAATAATTCCATTTGGATTTCTTTCACAAGGTCAAATTTTTAGGAAGTTCCATTGCAGGTTTCTGCTGAAGTATTAAACAATCTTACGCCTAAATTTATCCAAATATAATAACCAGAAAACATAATTCAATATACACTACACTGAGCTTTATTCCATAGAGTTCTTAAGTATCACAGGAATTATTTCTTGCCACCAAAAAACAGCCCAGCAGTAATACAAGGAAAGTAGGTAGCAAGCAAACTCCCCTTCTTTGTGAAAACTGAGTTACCAAAAGACTTAAACAAAAATTATGAAAAAGGAGTAGAAAGTCTTATACTTGAATTTTAGCATGCTGCCCACAGACCACCCATTTCATAATTTAAGAGGTGCAAATATCATTGTTAATGATTCAATCAATAAATAATGGATCATTTGAAGAACAAATGCCCATATTCACAGTTCTATGAGGTTAGATATGTGATAGCTTAGTGATTATTGTTACACTGAAGAGAATATCATGAAAATGCATGGAGACCAAATGCTATTTTCAATATGTCAATATTAAGAGTGTCAAATTTAGTCTCATATAATCTTCCAAGTATAGGACTATCTAATTGTTGCTCTTGCTAATTGCCCTCAGTACTTTTGTCACAAACATGTCCCAAGTAGCAATGTCATTAATCAACCATAAACAAAACTCACTTCTGATGTCATAAAGTCATCTGCCACCCTATCACTCAGGTCTGCAAGTCCCTCTGACTTTACCACATGTAAGTGTGTGATATTTACACAGACAGTAGCCAGAATTTAAGGTCCTGCCCTGAATCCAGCTTTGTAGCTTTTGAAGTGGTAACTTATTGAAGAGGCATGAGGACAGACATCAAGGATTCTACTTGGTCTCATATCCGTTAGTGGAAAAGAGAAATTTCATGATCAACCAAACATTTTCTAAAATCTTAGCTACATGCATTTATAAAACCACATGAAATTTCACACTCCTGCTGATTTTTTATTTTCATATTTGACTGAGAATTACCTCCCTATCTATAGGTTTTCCAGTTCCCTGGGACTCCATCTGTTGTCCTCCAATTTTCACATATTCATTCATAAGGAAAAAGGTATTTTTAACAACCAACAACAATAATAAATAGGAGCTCTTCACTTAAATTACCATGCTCAATAGCACAGTAAGACAATATAGTCTATTTTCATCCAATGTTTTGCTCAATAAAGGTGGAGGTTGCCTGTTTTGAGAGCACAGCCCAAGGCCCATCTGTTTAACCAGGCACTTGTCCAATAGATGTGGATGGATGGGTAGGTGTAGGAATTGGAATTCCAGTTCTGGCCAATCATCAAGTTAGTTTATGTCCAATGTGTGTTCATGTATTTTACATAAGCATATCCAGTAACATTTTAACTTCACTGTAGAACTATTTTACAAAATTTTGACACTCTACATAGTACACAATCATTTTTAAGGTAATTCCATGTGTATTACTATCCATGTAATAGAATCTTAATTTAGGCTGCATAATCATATTCAAAAAAGTTCTGATAACTATAAATCCAATAAAGATTTTTCCAATGAATCCATCAAATTTGTCTATTTTATCTATTTCTATTCTCTAAAAAATAACAAAAAAGTTAACTTTATTAGCAAAAATGTCAAGGCACTTTTCTTCAGCAAAAGTGACATAAAAATACACAAGTAAAGGTGAAACTTTATTGTTATTTGTAGTATTACTTTGCCTCCACAAAGCACTCCAATAACTGGTTATCCAACATTCATTGGTCAGGTAGATTCATGTTACTTCTTCCATTTTACAGAAGTGAAACGACTTTTGTGTGTCTAAAATTAATAATAATTTAGTTTCTACTTCATTATCTCCAATAAATTGAGATATATCCCAATTAGATGGAAGCTTCTCCAAGCCAAGGTCTGAGTTTAATGGTTTGGCCTGCATCTAATAAATTTTCAAGACACGTTTTATAATAGTGAGATAATTGGTAGGTTTAGTCAATTTCTTCATTAATACAAGAGGGATTTGTTTACTGAAGTGTGTGAAGAAAGCAAACTTTGACCCTTTTTCTTCCTATAAAATCAAAGATTACTTAAGAAACTCTAAAAGCTTATTTGGAAATGCTTAGTAGGAATGCATAAAATATATTTATGTCCCTATCTAAATTTCTTCCGAGAGGGAATTTTGGACATGCTTCCTATTAATCCTACTGTTTCACAGAGAAAGGAAAAGAAGAAAAGGAACAAAGAAAACTTGAAGTTCATGAACATGATGCCACTATTTTTAAAACAAGATTTAAAAATCTCTTCTCTGAGCATGCTTATGAAGCGAGACTATTTTAATTCATATTTCCCTGAAATAAAATGTCTCTTTTATTACCAGTGGAGGGAAGGAAAAAATCAAGTTACAGTAATTGTCTCAAAGATTGACTCAATGCAAAACTAAAATGAGCCATTACAAGATAATGAATCTGTGTATTGCACTTTTTCTTCCCCCTAAAATAACTTCACGCAAGGAGATGGAGTTTTACTGTTTATAAAGTGAAAACAACATGAACACAAAATGGAGAAAAGGGTTATCTGAAGCCAATTTTGTAGTGTAAAATATGGAGAATTGATTTACAATACCCTAAACAAATGGTTCCATTTTTAAAGTTTATGAGAATTTTTTCTTTCATTTGAACCTAGTTTTAAATTTTTTAATTAAAAGTATCAAATTCCTATAGCTATAAATATTCACTATTAAAGTATTAAAACAAAAAAAATGAATACAATATAAGAATCCCTTTCCTGGGACAATTAGCCTAAACGAAAAATGATCACGGCAGTTGTCAATACCACTTTAATTTGTTTTTCTCAAAATACAAATGAAAAATGCTGGAAGAGGTAACTCATGTCAACCATGAGCCAGGAGGCTGAGGCAGGAGAATCGCTTGAACCTGGGAGGCAGAGGTGGCAGTGAGCCAAGATCATGCCACTGCACTCCGGCCTGGGCAACAGAGCAAGACTCTGTCTCAAAAAAAAAAAAAAAAAAAAAAGTATTTCAAATACCATTTTTTCTTTTTGCCCAGTAATTTTTATTATCTCCACAGCAATTGTTTGTTTTTCCACTCCATTTCCACCCCACCCAAGACTATCTGCCAAACACACAAGAGTCTGGGAAACGAGTCTTTAAACATTGATTAAAACTATTTGTGCAGGGTTTTGTTTGCTTTTCATCATTATAAAGGAAATTATACTTGTTTTCATCCTAACAGAATCCTGACCACCTAGTTTAGTTTATTTATTCTGCTTTCTTATTACAATAGAGCACATGGGATATCAAAAGGACTGTTGGCAAAAACTTCCCCAGGAGCTCTATTTAAAACACCAATTTCATTCACAACATGTTATCCCCAAAGATACAAAAGCTGAAATACCACCTTTCAGAATGGCATACATTATATTCCCTAGAGTTTGAAGCTCTTTAAGTAGGAAGTGCTAAAAAATCTGATCAATTAAAATCCCAAGCACATGCATGATTCTAGAACCACTTTATATAGGAAGCAACCATCTCACCTGACAGCTGTGAAAATACAATCTATGCAGACAAATACAGCTATCAATTTGACAACAGGCCTCTGTCTATGCTTTACTAGATTTATACCTCCCAAACAAAATCAACAGAATGCTGGAGATTTTGGGCAATGGTGTAATTTCCTGCTTTGAAGCTGACGAAGCAAGAAAATTAAGAATAGGCTTAACTGATTCACATGTAGAAAATAGGCAATAAATAAATGATTAATACTTTACAGTTCATACTACTATAGAATTTGAAGAAGACTGATTATTCCAGTATCTGTGTTGTTTGTACAAGCTGTCACTCACTATGAAGCCAAAAATAGAATACAATGACCCCTACTACTAATAAATAGGTGAAAAGGCATCAGAAATTGGAAGTCTTACTTGGGATGATTCACATATAAAACAAAACAGAATTACTGTTGTTAAAGTACAAGGGAGGAGCTACAGCTGGTCCTGGTTTGCCTTACTAGGTACTCAATGACTTCTATGAATATCGTAGCATGGGCAAAAAAAAAAAAAAAAAACTGCCAAAAGCTAAACAAATAAACAAACAAACAAAAACCCCACTTATTTGGTCCAACCCCTTTATTTTACAAAAGTAGAAAGCTAAAGAGGATCAAAGATGTTGTTAACTCACTTGTCTAGGATCAGACCCAGAAGAACCAACCATAAAATAGTGTCAACTTAGATGTTTAATAATAACTCCCTCTTAACAAATTATAAATATGTGTATGTGTCTCTGTGTGTGTATTGCAGCCCTCCTGCTCCCCAAAATTACATCCAAAGATGGTGATAGAAAACAACATGCATGGAGTCTACTGAATGTTACTTTACCCAAGA